TGCGCCGGGGCCCCGCAGCTTGGCTCCGTGCGCGTCCATGGCGGGCACGCGCTCCTCTGCCTTGCATTTCAGACAGCTCCGGCCATCCCGCCACGGGGCGGAAGCAGGCCCTGAGTCACACTGACCTGGTTCCACCCCAGCCCCACCTCCGCTGGGCTAGCCCGTTGGAGTCTGAGTTTTCCATTCGCCCATTAAACCTGTAACAACTCCGGGCTGCCACAGGCCAGGCACTGCGCTGAGGCTGCAGCGGCAGCCGGTCCCCCTCGTGTGGTCTTGCGGGTGAGGGAGGACTTCCCTGAGGAGGTGACCTGGAGAATGGCCAGGAATTCGCCTGGTGGAGAACCCGGGAGAGCTGTGCTAGGCCGAGGGGAGGGCACGGAGCGTTATCTTCGTTTGTTGTGATGGGAGACGGCGGTTCTACCCCGCTGGGAAGTTAAAGCCTCAGAGGAGATAACGCATGTAAAGTGCATACAGTAAGAACTAAATAATTGGTCGGAGTTACCATAACGGGTTAAAGCAAGAGTCCGCGTACTCCCGCCTCTTGGGACCACACAGAACCAGCGTGCTCTCTCTCCCCTCGGCAGTTGGCCTGTTTGTCGGCCCCCGTGGCTTATTCACAAAGGCTGGTTCCCCACGCCCTTTGGGCTTTGTCCCTGCTCGGGTCCCGTGCGGCATGCACAGGCGGGCCAGCGCTACAGGCGTGGGGTCACTGGTCCAGGGGGAGCAGTGGAAGGGAAGGGAGAGGGGTGTTTCATTATCCTCTTCAGGGCGCAGCAGGCATATCCTTCCGCGCCCATCCCTGCCTTCGTCTGTCCACACACACGTTCGGCAAAAGGGTATTGAGAGCCTGCTCCTTGCAGGTGCGGTGCTAAGTGGTGGATAGGTGGCCATGAATAAGAGAGGCGAATTATTACATTTTTATTCTGGAGAGGGAGACGACTGACGAAGTGGACAACCGGAGATGTGAATGCATATCGTGGCACTTGTGAAAAAATAAACAGGGAAACGGAATAGATGGAGAGTCGGGTGCGGGAAGGCTGTGCGGTTTTTTGGAAAGGATGGAGCTTGATGTCTTTAAGAGAGAGCCCTAGAGAGAGCTGGAGTGAAGAGGCAAAGTAGCCAAGGTGGGGGCTGAGCTGGGAGAGGCAGGTGGCTGCAGTCCCGGGCCACATGGGACTCGGAGGAAGCCTTAGGGTGCTGTGAGACGGAGGCTGGAGGGGTTGATTTACTTTTTAGTGGCCTTTTGGCTGTTGGGAGAAGAACCAGCTTGAGGATGAGCAAAGGACAAGGTAGTTTGCAGTTGTCCAGTCCCGGGGTCATCTTCGAGGCAGGAGGCACAGGAAGACAGGCAGGGAAGGGAAGGAACTTGGGAGGAGGTAAGACAATGACAGAGAGAAATAAGAAGGAAGCAGTAAGAGCAAGAAATCATCTTAAGTCCGAGAGGCTTCCTGCCTTGCTGGGACCTGGAGTGAGCTGGCTCAGTCCACACCTTGGGGTCCCCATCTCTACGACCAGAGATTTGGACCAACTGCCCTCTCAGACCCTTCCCACCCGAGGATCTCTGACGCACAGCCTGTAAGGAGTAATGGCCTCTCTGTTCCCCCTTAAATGGACTCTGGAGACAGCTAAGTGTTCTTCTCTGTGGTAACAGGGTTTTAACATGGTTCAGCGGACCTGGTTGCTATGGCAACTTAGCCGTCAGAAGTCACAGGGATAGGATACGTAGCAGACACCGCACAGGAGATGGGGAAGAGGGGGAGGGCGGGTCCATGAGGCCTCAGTTCTTAGTGTCACCGGTCAGCACCTCCTTTCATGAGCAGCCTCAATTCAGCTTCCCTTGTACAGACCCCAAGAGGCAGACTATGGGTGGGGCTACAAATGGGGCTACAAGGAAGGGAAAGTTTTGTCTCAGGCATCCCTGCCTGGGCGGTCAGTTGCATATATTACTGAGGACAACAGGACCCTTAGCATCATAGCCCTTCAGAACTGAGAGAGACCCCAGCAGTATGCATAAGTGAGGAAATAGAGAATCAGAGAGGACACAACTCGCCTGAGGTGGTCACACAGCACATCAGCAGCAAGGTGGAAGAACAAAAGCGTAGGTTTCCAGGACTAACCTCGGTCTTTGGGGGAATACGGGTGGGAAGGGGACATAGCAAGAATCAGGGCTCCCCAAAGCTGTGCACTCTGCTTTCTACCTCGACAGCTGGGGAAATCCCCAAGCTGAGACAGTGCTTTCTGAGGTTAGAATGAGGCATGAGCTTTCTTGGAGCTTTTTAGTTTATGGAGCTGGAAGTAAACAAATTTTTAAATAATATATCGATTGTTCTTATTAAATAGGAGCACTAATAACAAAAAATGAAAGGAAGAGGGAGGAAAGGAGGGAGGAAGGGGGGAAGGCGCTCACCTTAATGTTCATTCATAGAGGAGGAAGGGTGATTTAAACTGGAATGTCCATCCTGTAGAGGACTGTGAGACAGTTGAATAAAGTGTGAAAGTGACTTTGTACATACAGCATAGGAAATGGTGAAAGACATATCGAGTGAAAAAAAAGTGAGTTTCAAGACAAGACACACCTTATGATGTCACACAAGTGAAACAAGCAAAATAACCCTGTATTGAAGAAAAAGCTAGGAAAAAGCATACCAAGTAGCTCAGTGATTTTCTCTGGTTACCTCTAGTTCTAAGAGCCAGGATCAGAGGTCAGCAGGGACTTTGCCTTCTCTGGAATGCCTAATTTTTTACAAGGAAAATATATTCATGTATTATCATTGAACTAAAAGTTAATTTAAAAAATGCAAATACTACATAATGGTTTCAGAAAACTGGAAGGATACTGAAAAGTAAAATGAGTTGTCTCTTGTGTTGTCTTTTTCTAATAGATCTGCAGAGTTTTTCCAGTTGTAGGTTCCTTATTGGTATACGTGGTACAGACACCTTCTCTTATTCTGTGGCTTGTCTTTTTTTTTTTTAACAGATTATTAATGTATCATTAAATTTGTAAGTGGAGGGAATACAAATTGAGAAGACTGATCACTTGGACAAAGATAGAGTTTCTTCTTTAAGTTGGGTACTTATGAAAAATTAAGGCTGCAGTATCAGTACAGAAGACCATACACCTGTGGGATGGGCCATTTGTTTGCTTGATGTTTTTAATGAAGGTCTACCAGACATACATTAACAGTTTATCCTTGAACAACATGGGGGTTAGAGGTGCCCACACTCTGTACAACTGAAAGTCTGTGTGTAATTTTACAGTGGGCCCTCCAAATCCATCCTCCCACACCCACAGTTCCAATCTGCAAATTAACCCAACCGCTGATCTTGTAGTACTGTAAGGTTTACTACTGGAAAATATCCGTGAGTAAGGGGACTTGCATAGTTCAAACCCCATGTTGTTCAAAGGTCAACTGTGTATGGAGTATGCAGGATTCTCACTGTACAGACTATGTGAATTACCCATTTTGCTGTGGATTGGAGTTTGGATTGTTAACAGTGTGATACCGTTACGAGTAAAGGTATAATGGTGGATGTATGCTCTCATTTTTAGTGGGTAAATACCTAGTAGTGGAAAGGCTCGATCGATGCGTAGACATGTTTAGCTTCAGTAGATCCTGCCAAGCATTTTTACAAGGTGGTTGTACCGACATACATACTCCTGTTCAGCAGTGCATGAGAGTTTTAATTTGTTCACGTCCTCATGAACAGTTGGATTTGCCTGTCTTTTCAATCATAGCCATTCTGGTGGATGTGTTGTGATACCTCATTATGGTTTTGATTTCCCTGATGGCTAATGATGGTGGGCCTCCTTCCATATGGTAATGCCATTTGGGCAGCCTCTCCTATGAAACGTTGTTCGATATTTTTGCCTGTTTTATTAACTGAGTTATTTTTTCCTTATTGATTTCTAGTTATCTTTTCCTTATTGATGTATGTATTATGGATACATATAGATACATTTCTGGGGTATGTTTTCTAATGAGCAGAAGTTCTTAAGGTTTTTTTTTCTTTTCTTTTCTTTTCTTTTTCTGTATGGTTGATGCTCCTGTGACCTGTTTAAGCAATTTTTATCCGACTCTTAAGTCATGAAGATGTTATCTTCTAAAAGTTCTTAGGGTCTAGCCTTTCCAGGCTTTAACCAGACCTTGAAGTCTATTATTATTTGCCTGAATTGATGTTTGTGTTGAGTGGGAGGTAGAAATCCAATTTCATTTCTATCCAAGTTGTTCCAGCGTCACTGATTGAAAAGCCCTCGTCCTCCCCGCTCTGCGGTGGTGGTGCTGTGTCTTTCATTTGTCAAGTGTCCGCACAGTGCTGGCCATAGTAGACTCTTTAAAAATATTTGTTGAATCAAATCTGAAATGGGCCACCATTTGTTAGGTATCTATTT